TTGGTAACCTTTTACATTTTCCACCCTGCAGTCGTGTCATGGTAGAGTGCATATGGTTTGCATTCCAGTTGTGGATTCAAATGCAGACCATGTGGACTCTTGACGATGGGGTTTTAGGTGCACTATACTAGAAGTATACATTGTGAAAATCACTGCTTATTTGAATCGTTCAGTTCAGCTAAAAGATTCCCAATGACTGACTGCAGTTTGATCATCAGTGTTCGTCTAGGCTAAGAAATCACATCTCTGATTCAATTCACTTCAGCTGTTTATGTTTATATAAGGCTAACACTCACATTAATAAATCCACATACACAACAAACAAACATATACATTATATAGACACATTCAGAACACATCAGTTGTGTTTCCGGCTCTGTAAATGTGTTGAAAAGAGATTAAAAGCAATACCATGTGTTGGGAAGCATGACATTAAATAAAGATGATAACAAATAAAAACTTGTTTAGCATGAGATGGAGCTGTCCGGTGCTGATTACTTTTTAAATCGATTTCTATGTCCATGATCAATAGTAGTCCATATATGTTAGAATTAAATGTTGATCTGGTTTAACTCTAAGCCATGTGCTTTTTATTCACAAATGTCTTATATCTTAGTCGCATCCCATAGCAACGCTAGAGTATAAATATCATTGTGATGCGGTTTAGAAGTTGTTCTCATACTGCCTGTGCTGCTGCACCTCTTTTCACCCTCTGTCTGAAACCAGAGCCCAGTCTGCTCTGATTGGTTAGCTGGCCGGTTGTCATTTGTCAACCGCTTAGAGATGTCCCGCCCTTTAGCCTATCACGTCCAAACTGTTGGAGCGCTAGCCCATGGATGCATGAGTTGTACATAGTGATGTCACTATTTACAGAAGTAAACAAAGGAGTCCAATGGAGGCATTTCCAACGGGGGGGGGAGTGTGTGGGAGAGAAACTCCCTCTTTTTGATTTTAGCCTTTAGACCATTTTAATGCACAACAACCTATATAACACACTACAGGAAAGGGAAACCCCAAAAATCATAATAGGGCCTCTTTAAGTCTTATTTTATACTAATGGATGAGTGGTGCCTTCAAAAAATTACATTTGAATCTTGTTTCCAGAGGGTAACTCTATAAACTACTGAGAAGGATCACAGAAGTATAAGGAAAAAGATTTCCTATCCAGTGGTGTTGGTTTTACTGAGCCTACATTTAATTGTGTCTTTCTCCACAGCTGCTGATGGACAAGCGAGTGGGTCTGAAGAGATACGAGCTGAGTGGAAGAAAAGTGTTGTTCTACTTTGATGAGGTGAGTTGTTGGGCATTTAAAAGAATGCTGTATGTGTGGAGATACCTGTCTTTGCCCAGGTTTGGGGAGAATGTTGTTCAAATTGTATTTTTGTGCACATTGTGTTTGTGGATGTTTTTCTAAGTATTTTATCCTGTGCTATGTTACCCTTCTCAGATCCCCAGCCAATGCATGACGTGTGTGGCCTTTCAAGCTGTCAGGGAGTACATTGTGGGCAAGACAGCGCCTGTTCCGGTCAAGATCTATGACTACTACGAACCAGGTGTGTCTCTGATGAATATTTTTTAAGTGCTGCTCTTTAAAGAGTTACAGAGCAGGAAAACTGTCTAACTCACCGGTGATTTATGAAGTGGCTTCTTTTTCTCGTGGAAATTGGATTTTCTTTTCAAGTTTATGACCTATAGTGTTGGTAAGTGTCATCATTGTTTTGTGTGTGTGTGTATGTGTGAATGTGCTGGTGTGGGTCTGTGCTTTTCATGCAGCCTTTGAAGCCACCCGGTTCTACAACGTTAGCGAGAGCAGCCCGCTAGCTCGGGAGCTGTGTGACGGGCCCACATGCAATGAGGTGGAAAGTTCAACCAATCAGTGGATAGGTGAGACACATGCTACACACTGAATGATTCATGGACACCCCACTTTCATCAGTGTCTTAAAAACACTTTTTTCCATCAGGTTTTGTGCAGGCAAACCAGTGCAACAATGTGTTTGGCTGCCCGGAGGAGGAGCAGTTTGAGCGCTGCACTTGCTACAGAGACTGCGGGTACGACGGAGAGCCGGTGTGTGGGTCAGACGGACAGCTCTACCAGAACCAGTGTCAGATGGAGGTGTTTGCCTGTCGAAACGGGACACGCATCAAGCAGGTCCCCCTGTCCCAGTGTCCTCAGAGTAAGAGCTCTCTCATCACACAACCTCACAACTAGGCAGTCTCCCTCAATCACTCACCTGGTTCCAGACCCCTTCTTTAAATTATTCAAAATAGGTCTGCCAGTTGCAGAAACAGTCAATTAATTAGAGTTAAGAAAGCGTGATGAATAATCAGGTGTCATCTTTTTGCATGATTAGCCGACTACATACAATAGCTACATTCGTGGAAAGAGGGGCCAGCATGGATGAGATTGACTCATTTGCAACCAATTCAATACCCCTCCTCTCAATCCTCCCTTTCCAATGTGTAGAGATCATACGATGGCTTTCAAGCAAAACACGTAAAATACCTTCTTTAGAGCCAGTGTTTGATTTGTCTTTTCTGGTCTACTGTAGAAACGTGGTGGTGCAGCATGGCAGGAAACATGCTTCCCATGTACTTACAAAGGGCTCATATAAAGCTAACACAATCACAATGAATATCAGGTGATTAAACACTAATAAAAACAAAGTTATGAATATGACATACATTTTGAATCAATGGGTCTGACTAAAGCTACACACTGGACCTTTAAGTTGTTATTTGTTTGATCAATATGCAAAACTTAAGCTGCTAGGTGTGTGTGTGTGTGTGTGTGGTGTGTGTGTGTGTGTGTGTGTGTGTGTGTGTGTGTGTGTGTGTGTGTGTGTGTGTGTGTGTGTGTGTGTGTGTGTGTGTGTGTGTGTGTGTGTGTGTGTGTGTGTGTGTGGTGTGTGTGTGTGTGTGTGTGTGTGTGTGTGTGTGGTGTGTGTGTGTGTGTGTGTGTGTGTGTGTGTGTGTGTGTGTGTTGGTGTGTGTGTGGACAAATTGGAGGTCCCCATGAGGGGAATCATTCATTTTAGGGTGAAGACTTGGTTAGGGTTAAGGTTTAGGGTTAGGGTTAGGCATGTGTTGGTTATGGTTAAGGTTAGGATAAGTCTCCAGGAAATGCATGTAAGTCAATGTAATGTCCCCTGAAGTGATGTATACATGGTATGTGTGTGTGTGTGTGTGTGTGTGATCGTCCACTTATCCATTGTGCACAGTGCACACATGTGTCTTTTGTGTGTGCCATGGTCTGAGTGGTAGAAACAGCTGTTCAGGTGTTGAACTGATTACTGGATGAGTTTTCTGAGGAGAGCTACCCGTCGCGCCCCCCCCCCCCCTCTTTTCTCTCTCTGCTGTATTACAGGGCTCTCTCCAAATGACAGAGTGCTTTTGTCCAGCCCTTTGAAATCCTTGTCACATTCCTTTCCGACGCACAGCCCAACAACAAAGCAGCCTTCATGTTGTGGAGCAGATTGGAAAAATAGACAAAACTTTGGTGGGAAAAGTCCTCGGTTTGTGCCAAGTGGTTCATGCTGCAGAACATCAAAAGAATCATATGTTTGTTTAGAGCGCCCCGACCTTGTTTGTTTGTGTATGGTTGCATGGGGGAGATTCATGCCACCGTTTCCCTGTTTTGAAAAGAAGACAGATACAATTTGTTTCCACACACTGCTGGCCACAGTTTAGCCCCTGCTATTTTTGGAAACATTTTAATCTTGTTGGGACTGAGTGTACATGATTGTTTTACCAGTAAAGTGTTGCTCAGTGGGGGGGGGATAATGCTTCTGGGCAGTATTTACTTTATGCAACACTGAAACTCTGTTGAATTCATTACTAGTTTATTTAGTGGCTGCGGCAGCCACATAAATGTGAGTCATCTAACGTGTGTGTGTGTTTGTATTTCCAGTGGAGGCCACGGTGGAGGACAGGCAGCCAATAGTAACCCAGGAAACTGAGCAGCCTTCAGTGCCTGTACACACAGGTAACTTCATCAAACACACCTTTCCCCTACACATACACAGCTTTGCATTACAGTCTATCTCCCCTCTATCTCTATGCCCACTATGGGGGATAATACACATGTTCTAAACTGGGCATTCGTAGCAGCCTTGTTAAACCAAAACCAGGAAGATATGTACCCCCGTGGTGCAGTTAATTTGGATCCGTTCTCCTGTGTGAACTAAACAAACGGTCCCTACTCCACCCTCAAAAGAGCCGTTTGGACCCCTTTAAGTGAACTCTGGTCCTCCTTATTTCTTGTGTGAACACTTCCTGAATCAGTAACAGGAAGGGTATAATTTGTGTATCTTAATTGGTTAAACATTTAATGAATTTACTGTTTATCAGACCACAAATAAGACACTAATTAGCTAGCGCACTCTAAGGTCCTTCAATCCTCAAGTGTAGAATTAAAGCATGGTGGAGATAGAAAGTTAGCTAGCTGACTGAGAACAATCTTTCTCTGCTTAGGAAAACACAGTTAGTCTTACGAGGACCCAACTGTATGACCAATAATCAAAAGACATTTCCACCAACATTACATTTTCTAGACCAATTGATTTATAGCCTTGGTGAAGGCGGACCGAACCAGTTGGGAAATTGAACCAATATATAATCTTTGCTTGTTTGATTCAGGAACCGGACCTTTAGGTGTGAATGCACCCCAGAGTCAGAAGCATGTTACATCTGCTCTCTTTTTGTTCTCCAAATCTTATCTTATTCTGCATCCATCAAAAGTCAATCTGGGAATCTGTGTCTGGTAAATGTAAATGAAGAGAGTTGAGACTTCAGACACGTGTTGTTTTAGTGAATTGTGTGTGTGTGTTTTGTCCACAAGGGCAGAAAGAAGAACAATTGAGAGACAAAGAGATGAAAGGGTGTGTGTGTGGGGGTGTGAACAGAAGGGGGGGAGAGATAGTCAAAGATTGATGAGCGGGAAACAAGATGAAAGAAAAAAGCGCCAAGTCAAATGAGAGGCAGGATGAGAAGAAAGTAGAGGAAAGTAGATACGTAGGTGGGGTGTGTGGCAGCACATTCCCCTGCCACCACATCATGTCTGCGATCGCTGTGATAAATAGGTGGATGGCTTTCACACTGCAGGCTCGATTGTAGCTCTGCCATGAAGATCAGCTGCCACTTCCACAGAGGCAGCCAGAGAATTCCTGATAGGATGTTTGTCTGCGTGTGGAGGGAGGATGTAGCTGTGGTGCATTTGCCAACAAAAACACAAGAAAGCCACTGCGGTCATTCACAAGTAGCAGAAGAGTGCGTACTGTGCATGCACGCTGTGTGTGTGAGGGTGATATGTGAGCTGTTTCTGAACATTAAGGTTGGCCTGTATGTGAATGTTTGAGTTGTGTACAGGTGTGTGTGTGTGTGTGTGTGTGTGTGTGTGTGTGTGTGTGTGTGTGTGTGTGTGTGTGTGTGTGTGTGTGTGTGTGTGTGTGTGTGTGTGTGTGTGTGTGTGTGTGTGTGTGTGTGTGTGTGTGTGTGTGTGTGTGTGTGTGTGTGTGTGTGTGTGTGTGTGTGTGTGTGTGTGTGTGTGTGTGTGTGTGTGTGTGTGTGTGTGTGTGTGTGTGTGTGTGTGTGTGTGTGTGTGTGTGTGTGTGTGTGTGATATGTGGCACAGCCTGCACTGACTTGTTTCCCAGCCTGCAGCTCCTGTTAGCAGAACCTCACAAAGCTGCTCTCAGTCAAAGGTCTCTGTAGTACAAAAACGCTTCACACTCACCACAGGAATGCTGTTATGAACTAACACACACACACATATACATATATATCACACACACACACATATATATATATCACACACACACATACACATATATATCACACACACACATATCTCACACACACACATACACACATTGCTTGCTCACGGGCACACTCTCACCTCAATAAGATAACCCAGGGGTGATTAGATTGAATAAGTACTGTAGAAACACAGTCATTGTAAACCATTAGATTGTTGACGACATGCCCGCTAAGTGCACTGAGAGTGTAAAAGGTGAAGGTCTGTGCCAAGGATCTGACACTTTCCACTGGAGCAGAGGAGGAAGCTGGAGCTCTGGAATTAGCTTCCCTGTGCAGACTTGTCTTATTAGTGAACTTCTACCAGAGGACATCATACATTATATAGATACACAGACAGTTATCCTACATATGCAAGCGCTGGAGTCACTTTCTATGCAAGAATCAAATGTGTGCATATTCTTTTTTTGAGTGTGTTTGGACTTCACCATAAAGTGCAAGATAACACAAGTTGAAGATATGATTATAGTGGACCTATAGTTAATAAACGTTAAAAGAAAAACATGTCTAAGGTAGCATGCTTTGGGAGAAAACAAAATGTTAAGCATGGAGGGACCCCTACTGTCTGTGACGGTGTACTGCTGCAAGAGCTTCAGATGTTAAAGGTGCAAGCTAAGTTTACATCAAGTGTTAAAGAATATGGAGGTCTACAAAACATGCTGTATGCGTTTCCTAATTCATAAAACATCTAAAAAGCATGTTTTCCCTTAAAAAGTTGAAACCTTTTTACTGTAACGGCCTTCTTCCCCCTCCATACCGCATTCTTTTATTTCTTTGTGTGTTATCGCCACCTGCAGATCAGTGGAACAGAATAAAACTATTCAGCAGGAATGTGCATTGGATCATTCTCATGCATGTACGTTCTTGTGCATATGTGTGAGAACAGACAGACTTATATGCAACAACATCCCTCCACGAGCTTTCACAAACATCAGGGTATCTTTATGTATCCATGACATCCAGTTATTTACTCCGAATGCAACTATAGTCATTGTATAACAGATATTTATTAACACTTTGAACGGCTACCATGTAAAGGCCGGATTTTGACATGTTCTGACTGTGTCTCAATCTTCCCCGGTCTCTGATCTGTGCAGGTGAAGAGGAGCAGGGGTCCATGGCAGAGGTGTCCTACTACTCCTACGAATACGACCAGGACTCGGAGCATTTCCTCGCTGATGCAGATGGAGGAGACCAGTTTGACCTTCCTGGCGGGGGGGCGGACGTAGAGCAGAAGGTTCTCCTGCCGACCGACACCCAGCTACCCACACTGAACATAAAAAACACCCCTGAGCGATGGTAGGAGATGCTCTATTTATTTAAAAAATAAATGTAATCAGGCTTTCTGGATCTCAGGCATGTTTCTCATATGTTTTGTTTGAATTTGAAAGTGTAACAGTGGTGTTATTATTGCATTTCTTTCTGTCAAAGTATCATGTAAAAGGCAAATATCTTTCCCTTAACATTTCCTGAGATGTCTACTCTGTCTATAGCCCGATCTCCTTATTCCTTCAAACGGTAAATAATAATATCCACAGGTGGTTTTAACAGGTTGATATTGTTCAGGGAAATAATCAGAATCAGAAACAGGGTTATCACCAGGTTGACACGTACAAGGAATTTGACTTGATGTAAAACTAAAACTAAAATTTTAAAACACAGATAGAGAACTATAATAACATTTAAAAATATTGTAAAAAATATAGTAAAATATAGCAGTATTTACATAGAAATAGAATGGAATAAAATGTGGCATTAATAATTTAAAAAAGAAATAACAGATATTATTACATGGTTTAGTTGAATACTCTATTCTGATTGGTCAATTCAGAACACGTGACACGTTGTTAATCCAGAACAGACAGACCGCTGTCAAGCACTTATTGACCGTTGTTAAGGACGCTCACATCTGCACAAAGAAGTGTGTTCGATTGAACTGTATACAGTTTGTGTAAGTGTTCAAGTGTCTTAGATCATGTCATAATACAGTTTGTCCTGTTTTCTTCTCGTCCACAGAGACGCTGACTGAGTGAAGCCATACTCGCCTCCAAATTGTACATTATTTGTGAATATGCTAGTGAATGGAAAGAGAAGAGAGACTTGGGACGGGTGCAGCCTGAGAGGAAGAGATAATGGAGTCTGGAGAGTGTGTGTGTTTAGGAATGAAGTGTGTGTGGATGCATCTATACGTGTGTGTGTGTGTGTGAAAGCTATTAGAATAGTGTCCTCCAGACGGTTGTTGTTCTTCCTGCAGACTCCTGGTCACCAATAGGCACCATAGCATCTTTGTTATTCACTGTACTGCCGTTATAATCACTAGAATAAATAATCAAGTATTTATGTTTGTAATTACACCTGACTTTAAGCAAAACATATTTTGTTATATTTTCTATCTGTGGTATTTATTTTTAGCTAGATGTCATATCATTTTTATTATATTCTATTGTCAACGCCCCTCCCATACTCTCTGCCCTACATTCAAAAGACATGTGCTGTCAAAGGCTTTACCTTCTTCCATAGCAAGCTTTAACCCAATTATTGAAATGTTTGATGAAATTCCTGTGCTGGTATCCTGCTGGAAGAAGACATATGCTAACCATATGCTTCACCGAAACATAAGCTCAAATGTTTTTCAGTTTAAAGATTAGTTTGGGCTTCTTGCCTTTGTCATACAGCGCAGCACAGATCGACACATAGAGACAGAGAAGGCGACATGACACAAACCCTCTGTGCGACACAAACTGGTCGTACGCAGACACATCAACATTTACTCTCAAGTCACTCTCTCTTTCTACCTTGAGATTTGATTGTACAGTTCATAAGCTATTTTGTTTTTGTTCAATTTTGATTCGTGAAGCAATCAACTTAAAAAAGAAATCAAGAATGAAGTTTTGAATCTCTGTAAATTTACCAAATTTGATTAAATGTAGCCCCGATTCATAACAAAAATGTGCTTTTTAAGACAAACGAGAATAAAATTTGTATACAATCCAAAGCTGTGGTTTATTTGAGTTTTTAGTATGAATGTCATGGTAATATAAATAATGTATTTACTCATGTTTTCAGTCATTATTATGTGTTACCTGAGTTTAGGATGTGACTGTTGCACATGGTTACGAACCTATTCCTCTAAAGTGTTCGAGTACTTTGTTTAACTCTGCATATGCAGCACAGTCAGTGGAAGTTTAACTAAGCACATTTACTCAAGTATTCATATTTAAATACTATTCTGACATACTTGACTTGAGTATTTCCATTATATGCTACAAATTATTCTACTCCACTATATTTTGGAGGCAAATATGGCACCTTTTACTTCAAAACACAATAACTTCATAGGTACTTTGTACATAAAAACCCATAATGTGCTTATAACATGATGCAGTGGTGTACTACTAATAAACACAGTATTTGAAATTGACAAAATACAACATTAAAAGATGACATGCTGGTGATAAAAACGGAATAAGAGTAATCTTAAGTGCATTGTTTTCTAATAATAACTCTTAAAACCACAGTATTTGTAGTTGTACTTAAAGGATCTGGGTACTTGTTCCACCTCTGAGCACATACATGTATTTGATGCACTAGCAGAAAGCTGCGTCGCTCCATTTCCTTTGAAAGGCTAGTTAAGTCTGGAGATGATTTCCTGTCAGCAGTGAGCTGTATTACGGCTGCTTTGACAGCTGACTGTGACCCTGCCATGCTTCTGTGTTGGAGACAGAGAGCATGTGCATGTGTGTATCAGATCGTACATGTGTGTATCAGATCATACCCACATCTCCAGGTCGACGTGCTCCGAACTAAATGTGTTTTTGTAGCTGCTAACGACAGATTCAGGTTTCCAAAGCAGCAGCCAGGAGAGAGTTTGAGCCTGTTAAAGTTTAATGTTTGTTTTCTCCACGTGTCACTTGTCGACCCTCTCGGTTTCTGTGGCCTCTGGCTGATCGGGCCTTTAAATGAGTCCTTCAAATCCCAACTACAAATCATCACTCGGATTAGAGGAGATCAAAGAGGGCTCAACTGTAACTGCATCTGGGGGATCAGTCTGACCTTAAGGTGAAGGTAAAAGAAGAGGGCTGTATGATGAAAATTCAATGACTGGCGATAAAGGTATACTCGGCCTGTCACTGGTCAGTGTGCTGCACTTTCATCTGCATCTTATGTGTGTTTGAGGGCGAAAAACACAGTATGCATTTTCAAACCAGGAAGTATTACAAATACACCCCATACATTCAGACATAAGTGAAGCACAAAATACACAAATGAACCTAAACAAGAGAATAATAGGACCCCTTTAAGGTCAAATGTAATGCAGAAGTTTGAAGACCACCCAAGCTGATGCAGGATACATACATATTTAATTTAAAGTCTTTTCAGACAATTACTTGTATTAGTCATGAATTACTATTTATTTGTAGAAGTATTTTATATATTCTTGAGGAATAATTTGATCATATTTGGCTTTCGATGGTGCAAGATGACTTTTCCTTCTACTTCCACATTTGATTGATAGTTTTATGAAATGTGTTTGTTGTGTTTATGTGGCTAATGTGGAAATGTGTGTATGTGCATAGACCCGAGGGAGAATCTCTTATGCTGCTGCTAAGAAAGACAGTCCTGAGATGATGCGGTAGGATTCACCCCCTCCAGTCTAAAAGTAAAACCTGGTTCCTGCGGTGACCAAACACCAGCAGTGCAGGGGTCCAAATGTCTGCAGCAGTCTCCGTGGCAACCGCATGCATGGCTGAAGAGTGATATTGCGTCTCCACAGTGCGATGAGCAGAAAGAGTGAAAAGGGAGAGGAGGGAGAGGGGGATCTTGGTTTCATGGAGTGCAGGGAGAGCTAGCGTTACATGAGGGTGAATCGGAGTGATGACATTGTTCCTGAGCACCAGCTGAGTGCACCTATACATCACCCTCTGTGGAGGAAGGGCTATTCACCCCAGGTGGACAAAGGGAGGACAGATAGATCAAACCCTTTCCAGTGGAGAGTCCGCTCTGCTGTGGACACTGATATTTATTAAAGAGCTCAGGTTTCCTCTTTGTTTCAGAGGAAATTAGGGGTTGATTGTGGAGGATCCAGGGTTCTGGGTTTCACTGTCAGAGGAGGAACAATACTTAGATATGTGAAGGTCGACATGGAGGTGCTCCTCTAATAATATCATTATCTAGTTTGCAGCTAGCTTCAGATCTGGCCTGAAAATGGGAATGATCTGTGGTAAGGTGCAAAGAAAAGGGACTTTTTAAGCCAGCTTCGTGACGGACATTCTGTACGAATGTTTTGGTAGCAGTGCATCCATTGAGGGAACTACAGAGAGACACATGGAGAAGAAATACCCACTAATAGCAGGAAGAGAAAAAGGTAAGTTCATTAATAGAAGTTACTGATTATGTAAAAACATGTGTGTAGAACTGTAGGCATATATAAGTAGCTATGTTTAATATCAATGTGTCTGTCACTTCTACGAAGAGATAAAAGGAGAAACAATACCCAGTAAAAGCAGCAAGATTAGCTACTACTTAAAATATCTATATTCCAGTTACTCATTTGCCACTTCGTGATGTGAAGGGGGGACATTGAGTTGAGCACAGGACTGCTCAGTCTGCAGACCTGCCTGGACTCGCTCTTTCTAGGAATTTGTGTTCCACTTTCCCTGCTTGTGCACATGTCACTAAACTTGTTTACCGATGTAACACTTAGCTCAGGGATGTATCTCTATCCTGTTCACTGGCTGTTTATCTGACAAACATACAACGATAAGAGAATGACTCGAAGCAGGTCATTAGGACTTCTTACCTGAAGTTTACATGTTTGATCACATTTCATAAATATGCAACTTTTATGGACAAATCATTTTTATTTTAAAGTGTATGGGGCTGAAATACACTACTTTGATACGGCACAAAAAGCGTCCGAAGCCCAGCTAGTTTTAGGCAAAACGTTTTTCCACTTGAATCTTCTTGATGTCATTAATGAACAACGTTGTTATAATGTGTCGGAGGTTCGCTGACGTGTCCCCATGTCTCTGTAGGGCCGGGCCCCGGGCGATACGGGCTCCCTCCCACCATTGGGTTTATAGGCCATGACTTCACCAAGTCCACCAGCCCCGCCTACTCCTTCCATGGCAGGATGAGTGACACCAGTGAGCTTTTAAAATGTCTTTCTCTGACTTTTAAATGATCGTGTTACATAGCTGCAGAGAAAACGTTCAATAGTGTGAATAAATGCTTTTAGTGTCAGTAAGAACATTGATGCCAAAGCTATAGATCTTGTCAAAAGCTCAGAAACATTATAATTTTAGAAACAGACATTTGTATGAGGAGACTTATCTAATGGATGTTGTCTTTTTTAAGTTATGACTCAAATACATAACTTCAGCCAAGTCAAAGTAAACATCCTAATTGTTGTAATGTATAATGAGAGCCAGTAGGGGGAGACAACCTCACAACTCTATAGTTATTCATCACATAACGGTTATGGGCTCAGTTCTTCAGCCCAGTGGATGATACAACTAGGCTGACAGTTTCAAATATATTCAATGATAAATGTTTTTTGTTTTATTTTGCAGTGTATTGTGTAGACTCAAGTCCGGGGCCGCAGTACCGCGTCGATGCCAAAATCACCCGCTTTGGGAGGGACGGCACGCCTGCTTACTCCATGCTGGGCCGATCCAAGGCACAGAGTAAGTGTTCCTCTTTATCAACGTAAAATGACTTTTATTCTGAATCCACATTGTTTCAAACTCATTTTAGGGCGATGAAATATATTGATATTTTGATTTGAGGAAAGATAATGTCGTAGATTTCTTGTAACATGGAAAAAGTACAAATGTTATTTTTATTACCACTGTTCTAGTCATTTTATAAATGTACCTTAACATCCACATTACTGACTTTTGTTTATCAAAAATGTAAGTGTAAATATTTTATACCAATATCAATATTTAGGTATTCTCTCACAGAATATAATGGTTTTTGATTCACGGGTTGTATAATGATGCAGACCGAACTAACTGCTCCATCATTTTGAAAGGACGAACCCTTGAACAAGGCATTTGTTTTGGACACTGCTCTACAGATCCAGTGTCAGCTGTTCTAACTGTAAATCTGAAGCCCTCAAACTAAACGCACTCCACCATATGTTTGTATTAACAAACCGTTTTTCTGTTCACTAGAGGAGCTTTTCCAGACACCTGGCCCAGGAGCATACAGCCCTGAGAAAACCCCCCCATGCAACCTGCAGCGCAGACCCCCCTCCTACACCATGGGCTCCCGTACTCACTACCGGAGCGTGGACCCAGTACCGGCTCCGAACAAGTACTGTCTCCCTCCTCTCATGGGCCCTCAGGTCCCAAACAAGCAGGCGAGCGCAAGCTACACGATGTCAGGTAGTTACAGCGCAGGGGGGCCGTCAGTGGATCTAGCCCAGACCCCGGGGCCGTGCAGATACAACAGCACGGACCCCAGTGTGTATCTACCCAGACAGCCGGCCTTCTCCATGCTGGGACGCCACAGCGTACCTAAAGATGCCACCAAGAAACCCGGACCAGGAACTTATAATCCAGAGAAAGTGACGGTTCACAAGGCCCGGGCCCCGGCCTTCTCCCTGGGCGTCAGACACTCAGAGTTTGTTACTCCACTGGTTGTCTATGTTTCTGACTGAACGTCTTCACAATGAAAGAAACATAACGACGTGATCTGGCAGAAAAATGAGCAAACATATGTGAAGAAGTACATTTAATTTTGTTCTTTCAGCAACAAAGAATGTGTTGAGTCAACCATGACTCACTTTCAACATTTAGAATATCTAGAAATAATATTATGTACATAACAAATATAAGTTTACAGAACAGGAAAAACAAAGCTTTTAGGATAAAAAAGTGGGCTTGAGAAAAATGAAATCCTATGCCTGTAGGATACTCAGTAAATAAAGGTATCATAACAAAATGACATCAGAAAAGATTCTTTAAATGTATTAAAATATACATTTGACAGGCAAACCCCACCTTCATATTGTTTATAAGGTTATCACTCACAGTGGAATCAGGTTGCCTCTCATTACCTCTAAAAATTGAGGAAGTTGGAAAGGACAAAAACACACAACACAACTAAGGGTTTCTACACAATACATTAGAACATATGTAGGTGTGTTTGTAGGAGATGGATGGTTCAAATACAATACAAATCAGCAAAGATGATAGCAGGCATTTAGAGATGGTTCTCATGTTAATCCTTTGGGAGAGGCCTTCTGAAAAGCAGTATGTGTGGCTCTGGAGAACAAAGCAAAGAAGAAGAATCTGTCAGCATGAGATACTGTACAGTACAGAGATAGTTCTCATCTTAATGCAGCACTCACACGCCGATGTAAAAAATGAGTAACGATAGTTCCTGTTTATTGTAATCCTTGCTCTACACCACATGGTCGTGAAGAGATCTCATGTGTAACGGATAGTGGAAAACGTAGTCCTTAGTATACATGCCCTCTTAAGCTGTTATAATAAGGCATCAGCTTTTCAAATTGCACAAAATATACAGTCTTAAATACAAAATCCAATCTATGCATTTCCCTGCACTCTTTCATTGCGGAGCTGCAGTGAAACTAAGACAAAGGGTTAGGGTAACAATATATATATAATAATACTGTTAAATTGTTAATATCCATTTTGATTAAACTTACTCAGACTTCCGAAAGTACCATAAAACAATGCATTTGCTTTATCTGAACATTACAATGGACGGAACAAGGACTTTGTCTCTGATCACTTGTATTCAATCGGTTCCAACAACTAACTAACAACTTTATGCCTTGCATTGTTAAAGCTTGGTTGCATTACTAACTTGTTTTCAATATAGATATTTTTAATTCTACTTACTACTAATATTTATAATATAACTTTACTTTATTGTCTTTCATAATTGCAATTGTACTTAGTCAAGTGTCATGACAATTAAACCTATGGACCGCTTGGATAATTACAATAAGCAATAGCTTTGTCAATATGCATGTGGGCTTGTGAGCACTGTTTTAAGACAAAACCTGTAGAAATAAAAAACGTTGTTCCCAAATCCCCCGTCCCTTACCTGGCTTGTGGATCATGTAGTGAATCCAGCCCTGGCTCTGCTGCACCCCCAGTCCCCTCCACTCATCTTCTGTCATCAGGTGGGAGGTGGGCACCAGTTTGGACAGCTGCTTTGGAAGCACCACATGTCTGTGGAAAGATAAAGGAACAGTCAGGAATTACCCACTATGGCTCAGAAAACACATTTAAGAACACAGTAAGTCAACTAAACCTTGAGGAAGACAATGTCCAGTATCTTCAATACAAAGACCACCAGTATCAGGGACAGTTTATCCCACAGGCTCAAAACTGTTACAATTCTGAGCTCTTAAGTGCCTTAATAACTGTCAAGCATTCATCTGTTTGCATTTTACATGTTTAATAATTACTAAAACAAGCAGTATGTTATCCTTGTACAGTATTTCATTCTGTTTTGATCTCATGTTATTCAATTTTACATGAATATAGCTTACTTCTTATGCATTTACCAGTTTACTTCTTACGCATTTACCTGCACATTGGTCATTTGCAACATTCTTCTTGCACTATTTCTTGTTGTTTTATTGTTGGAGAAGCCTGGGACTTCAGAATTGCATTGCCATAACTACACTGTAGCTACTGTATATATAACAGTCAAACCTTTGAATCTATATTAGATAACGTTGTTGTTAGAGGCCTCAAAACTAGTCATGTTAAATGTGGTATTTTCTTTTTTTTACATTGCAGCGTCAATGACGTCATCTCATAAACATTTTCAAAATAACTTTACGTTGACGTTTAGAAGCAGTTAGCAGGCATGTTTGAGTTGTATTAGCTAACTACTCAACTTAAGCTAAGCTAAATACCATACTGACTTAAACGTTATAACCCAATACAAAATGAAGTTGTCAGCACACGTTAACGTTTAATTGAGCCGTGCTAAGTAAGCTAACCTAACGACGTAACTCAGTTTTAGTTAACGGACGTTTGAAAACAACGTTAGCTAACGACAAACCACACATCTTTAACCATACCTGTACTCGAACTCCTCATCGGTGTACTTGTCAGAATAGTAAATTTGTTTTTTCGACATGTTCAGTTGATGATAGCAGACAAAACTGAAGCCCAAAAAGCAGTTTTCAAGCGGAGAGAAGACGCTAGCTCACTAAGAAAGTAACTAGTATTGTTTGCGAGAGCAACAAGCTGCTGTCATCTGCCGCTGTTTTCAGGAGACATTCAAACACCAACGGTTCCCCACACTCACCTGATTGGTCAAGGCAGCACCACGTGCACTTCCCATCTAACAAGATCGCCTATAAAAGAAAGATGAAGCACTAAGTCACCTTTTAACGAAGAGGAAAAGTTTGATGTTTAATTCCACGTAAAATTTATTAAAATGATACATTTAGGATTGTATGTTACGTTTCGGTTGTGTGGAATATTGTTAAAATCAGCACCAGGTGTTTAGAGGTAAGGTATTTTATGGATTTGAAAATGTTTCTGGTACTTTGCCAGCTATTTTTCTGAGAACGAAAATGGGTTTAACAAGAGCTCTTCGCTGCTTTATTCTCTCGACTAAAAATCCACTGGTACCGGGAAGAAACCGGAAATAACTGTAAAGTCTAAATAAAACAATCTTTCCCCGTGAATTTCAATTGTGCATTACATGCGTTTGATTAGAAGCGTGTGATTTATGTATGGCCTCCATTTTAAAATGTTGTTTTTGGAGTAAAATACATGAAACTTAATTTTGGGTTCGTTTTTCCGGATACCGCATTGCATGATGGGATATTGTCGACTTTCTCTCACTGAAAAAGCAAATAATAATGTTCAGACTTAGTACACAAGTGTGTTTTCTATATTAAAGTAATGTATTGTATTCATTCCTTATACCTCTTGAATTTGGACATTTCAATTGTTGCACCATCAGTTAACATGGTATTCCTGTGTATCACTATCCTGTGTCAGTCGTGTACAAGTCATACTTACCTGGCAGGGGAGATACCATGATCACATAGGTGGTTCTCCTTTGGTGAGGCTCGGCCATTGCACTCCGGCCAAGCTGACCCAGATGAATTTCTCAAATGTAGAAATCTCAACTGTACTATTTGTGGTAGTGGGGGACTGCGTTCGCGCTCTCCCCTGATAAATTGTGAAAGAAAAAATGTTCATCAATATTGGTTGCACGCTACCTCATGTGCTTCCTCATGAAGCATACCAGCCAATTTAAACTATTTTTATTTTAGTTTTTAATCTTTACTTGGAGGACTATATATTTGTATGTTTATCTGTAATGTAGAAACGGGAGGAACCCAGGGACCCTTCAAGACGCCGAGAATACGCTAGATTCCATAATGGCAAACCTCACCACTCCTCAACCCCAGGGGAAGCAAGTACTCAGACAAGTGTCGCTTTGGTCGCCATCAACCAGATAAAAGACGCAAGGGATTCGCCATCACGGAAACGCCCCCAGGAGTCATCACAGTCAGGTGAACCCTCCTACGGGGACTCTCCCTCCCCAACCTCAAATCCCTTACTTGAGCATGTAGTTGCCGTCCCTTCGGCTACATCTATAAAAAATATCTATCTGAATAAATAAAGGGCTATGAAATCCAAGAAAAATAGATCAAAGAAGACGCCCCAATCGTGACACTTTGAAAACCATGCCGAACTTTTTGTATAAACGTAACCGCCTTTAAGAAATGCCAAATGTCCACACAGTCAGTGGTAAAGGTTAGCCTCACAATGGTCCATGACTACATTCTCAGGGACAGAGTGAAGTGTAAGGTGGGCGAAATTAAAATCAGGTGGAAAATTGATGAACTGATGGATGCACTGTAAATGATTTGTTGTTGGGAAAACTGAAGATTTTGATGCACTTTAAAATGAATTGTTGTTGTGACAAGAACTAAAGATATTGATGCACTTTAACTGAATTGTTGTTGGGATAAAAATGATAAATAACTGAAGATATTGATGCGCTTTTAACTGAACTGTTGTTGAAAAAGACAAACATATTTGTATGCACTTTAAAATTAATTGTTGTTGGAATAAAGAGGAAAACATATATTTTGTTGTAATAGGAGTATAATTGTGTTTTTTTTTAAACAGGAAAATGTACCTGCAAGTTTGTCCTTTGTAAATTATGTGCCTTAATAACAATAAAGCGTCTAAAAAAATTGAAATTGGTTCTCCTTTGGTGAGGCTCGGCCATTGCACTCCGGCCAAACTGACCCAGATGAATTTCTCAAATGTAGAAATCACAATTGCACTATTTGTGGTAGTGGGGGACTGCGTTCGCGCTCTACCCTGATAAATTGTGAAAGAAAAAATTGTCAACAACATTGGTTGCACGCTACCTCATGTGCTTCCTCATTCATAATGGTGATGGCAAGATGAAGCTTACCAGACAATTTAAACTATTTTTATTTTAGTTTTTAATATTTACTTGGAGGACTACATTTCTATGTTTATCTGTAATGTATTATTGTGTTGCACTGTTGGAGAAGCCTGTGACCTAAGATTTTCATCGATATAAATAAAGAACCTTGAGCCTTGAATTGGTTCGCTCAAGGCTTCATCATGGGCTTCATTTGAACACAAACCCCTGTTGGTCAAAGTGTGTAAAACAGGCAGATTTGACATCTCAACAGTGAGATGCATCATTGAGTAAAGCCTTAGAATAACTAAACAACGAACATACAATCATGTTAACAATATTGTATTTATTCCAGTTTAATGATTGTGATTGAAAAGCCTAAGGAGGCTGGTAAACACTGCAAAGAGGGATTTGTATTCTTTAATAATATTCGTAAACTTAACCATGTTGTAGCCGGAGAAAGGCTAAACCATATAAAAGAATACATTTATTAACTACATTATCTCATTTCGCTGTAGCTTTTATAAAAATAAAAAAAGCTTATTGACGTCACAGTCGTTGGACCAGGGACCCTGCGGTTGTGAGTCAACTGCTTTCCAGCTGAGCCACAGCCCAGGGTGAGTCTACCTGAAAACACTGGATCCTATTTATTCCTATATTTATTTATTCATGTTTTTATTCCTACATTTATTTATTCATACTTATTACATGTTCCGACCTCTATATAAGTGAGGGTCTGAGCTTTCTTAATTCCATCACTGTCACCGGGCCCGGGTAGCATACGGGAGGGGTAATATGATCGTTCTTACATCCATGGGTAATATGCATATGGTGTGTCTTCTATATTACAGTCATGTATTGTATTCATTCTTTATATCTCTTGAATTTGGAAATTTCAATTGTTGCACCATCAGTTAACATGGTATTCCTGTGTATCACTATCCTGTGTCAGTCGTGTATAAATCATACTTACCTGGCAGGGGAGATACCATGATCACAAAGGTGGTTCTCCTTTGGTGAGGCTCGGCCATTGCACTCCGGCCAAGCTGACCCAGATGAATTTCTCAAATGTAGAAATCTCAACTGTACTATTTGTGGTAGTGGGGGACTGCGTTCGCGCTCTCCCCTGATAAATTGTGAAAGAAAAAAATGTCAATAACATGGTTGTACGCTACCTCATGTGCTTCCTCATTCATAATGGTGATGGCAAGATGAAGCTTACCAGCCAATTTAAACTATTTTTATTTTAGTTTTTAATCTTCACTTGGAGGACTATATTTCACTGTTTATCTGTAATGTATTATTGTGTTGCACTGTTGGAGAAGCCTCTGACCTAAGATTTTCATCGACAACACTAAAGCACCTTGAATTGGTTCGCTAAAGGGTTTATCTCATGAAGCTTCATCATGGGCTTCATTTGAACATTGTGTTGGTCAAAGTGTGTAAAACAGGCAGATTGTACATCTCAACAGTGTGCTCTATCAATGAGTAAAGCCTTAGAATAACTCTAAACAACGAACATACAATCATATTTTCATGTTAACAATATTGTATTTATTCCAGTTTAATGATTGTGATTGAAAAGCCTAAGGAGCCTGGTAAACACTGCAAAGAGGGATTTGTATTCCTTAATAATATTTGTAAACTTAACCATGTTGTAGCCGGAGAAAGGCTAAACCATATCAAAGAATACATTTATTAACTACATTATCTCATTTAGCTGTAGCTTTTATTAAAAAAAACGTATTGACCAGTCGTTGGACCAGGGAGCCTGCGGTTGTGAGTCAACTGCTTTCCAGCTGAGCCACAGCCCAGAGTGAGTCTACCTGAAAACACTGGATCCTATTTATTCCTATATTTATTTATTCATGTTTTTATTCCTACATTTATTTATGCTTTTATTTATTCATACTTATTACATGTTCCGACCTCTATATAAGTGAGGGTCTGAGCTCTCTTAATTCCATTGTGTCACCGGGCCCGGGTAGCCTACAGGAGGGGTAATATTGTTCTTACATCCATGGGTAATATGCATATCCTCCTGGGACCCAGCCCATTGAAAATGTCCACTGTAGTGGACATTTTGTTAACATGCATCTCCTTTTACTCTTTTGAGATACTCTATCAATCCCTGATGTGCTGTACAGAGGACATCCTGGTCTTTCCAGTGATATGTAATTGGTTAATATTGCATGCTGGGAAGTTCCTCTTTATTTTCATCCAAAATGGCTGGCATACGAAAAACAAAATTGGGTAACACTTTATTTTGATAGTCCATATTTAACACTCTATAAGTCATCAGTTGACATTTAGTAGCATGTCAACAGCAATTAACCAATATTCAACCTTACTATCTGTATATTGTGTCAACATCTTCAAAATTGACAATCAACTACTCAAAATCAATCTGTCAGTTGAAAGTCAACAGGGTCATGTCGACTATCTGTTGATAATCTGTTGAGAGTCAAGATGTCAACTAAAGATTACATTAAGCATTAGTTGATGATCAACAGATAAGCAACTTTAGAGTTTAGTTGACTATCTGTTGATCGTCAACTAATCTAGAGTTGACTATCAGTATACTTTTAGTAGGCATTCTCCACTAAGCGTTTGTAGGCATGTGTTAAGACTATCCAATTAAAGTGAAACACAGTTGAGAACAGTAGAAAGTCTATAACCTATCAACAGAACACATTCATCCACTAAAGATATGCAACAGACATGGGAATACAGCGAAATGTTTTGCACAACTGATCACAAACTTTATTTATTCATTATGTATGTAATGTTTGAGTTAGAAACACCTGTTCCTGTTTTATTTGACTAATATATAAGATAAATACAGAAGCCTAATGCATTCACTTGAGGTTTTTCACAAGAACTCACAATCTACAGATAGTAAGGTTGAATATCGGTTAATAACCTGTTGCAAAAAACATGTTGACAGTCAACAGACACTTTTTGTAAAATCTATAGATCAACACTTGAGATGTACCTTATATTCTACTGGCAGTTAGTTAAATGCATGTTACTTGTCTGTTGAAACAGTGTTGTTGAATGTCAACTGATGACTTGTTGAGTGTTAACTATGGACTATCAAAATAAAGTTTTACCCAAAATTGTATAGAAGCAGGAGGAGAAGTTAATATTGTTGAATAATTGTCATTTTTACCATGAAAATCATATATATTCTTGTTTATTAACATGTGAGGAACTATATAATTAGTTCTGAAAGCAATTAAATAATTCAAGTTTTCAAATAACAGCCCTTTTATAAATGTCCATTCTAGTGGACGTCAGGACCATCTTCATGGACTTTATGACTCAATATTGTTGCAGGAGACGGAACTGAAGCAGACATTTTCTGTACCAGATAGTTAAGGGAGATTCAGATTTGGAGCTCTCAGATGATGAGAGAGATGAGGCTTTCACACCTGGGAAAGAAGAGGGTCAAGAAGAAGGGGGGGAAAGATGCAGGAGGCTCCATGAGCGCACAGATAGATCACATAGAGACAGATAGGGACGAGCTGGAAAGACATGGCCCTCTGTGGGCCAAGAGTAGCATGTATGTCTTATTGTTGTTTTTATTTCAAGTGGAGCCATGAAAAATGAGAATTGCCTCAGGAATGCAAGCTTTGTTTCTATGAGCATGGTCAAATGGAGACAACATCCATAAAACTATAGTCAAGATGACCCTACAGCCCGTGCTGACTGGAGTCCAATGAGGTACTTTCCCAGTACATTGACTACAAAGTCTTTGAAGATCTGGAAAGATTCACCAAAAAACAAGCTAGTTTTGTATTGACCAAATAAACAGCAATGTTCAGATCAATTACTTATTCATGTTTTAAATAAAGGTGAATGTATTATTGTATTAATATCACTCTATAACCATAATACGTTACATAGTCCATCTGTTAATTTCGGCTGTCTTTTTAAACTAATATGGTCCCGACGTCCTCTACAGTGGACATACTGTAACATTTTAAAATAAAATAAAATAAAAAAAATCTAAATTGCAAGATGTTTTTTTATCCCTAAATAGGTAGGAAATCACAACAAAAAGAAAATTGGAAGACACTTTTTTCCTCGTATCCCAGGAGGGATGTGTGTCTTCTATATTACAGTCATGTATTGTATTCATTCTTTATATCTCTTGAATTTGGAAATTTCCATTTTTGCACCATCAGTTAACATGGTATTCCTGTGTATCACTATCCTGTGTCAGTCGTGTACAAATCATACTTACCTGGCAGGGGAGATACCATGATCACAAAGGTGGTTCTCCTTTGGTGAGGCTCGGCCATTGCACTCCGGCCAAGCTGACCCAGATGAATTTCTCAAATGTAGAAATCTCAACTGCACTATTTGTGGTAGTGGGGGACTGCGTTCGCGCTCTCCCCTGATAAATTGTGAAAGAAAAAATTGTCAATAACATGGTTGTACGCTACCTCATGTGCTTCCTCATTCATAATGGTGATGGCAAGATGAAGCTTACCAGCCAATTTAAACTATTTTTATTTTTGTTTTTAATCTTTACTTGGAGGACTACATTTCTCTGTTTATCTGTAATGTATTATTGTGTTGCACTGTTGGAGAAGCCTCTGACCTAAGAACCATGAGCCTTGAATTGGTTCGCTAAAGGGTTTATCTCATGAGGCTTCATCATGGGCTTCATTTGTATGGAGGACGGAACATGACTTAAGTATAAATAAATAAATGTATGAAGAAATACAGGAATAAATAAATAAATACGTAAATAAATAAATAAATACAGGAATAAATAAATGACGAAATAAATACAGAAATAAATAAATGTTGAAATGAATACACAAATAAATAAATAAAAGAATAAATGCATAAATAAATATGGAAATAAATACATCAATGTATAAATAAAAGTCGAAAATAAAACAGAACACACGTTATTATA